AAGCCGTTGCCGTTTGACGTTGAATATACCGTGATAGTTGCCCATGATTAGGCCCCAGAGCAGGGGACTTGATTAGGCCTGGGGCTGGGAGTTTTTTGCTTCTGAGGTGCTGTGACAGCATTGACCATTGCAGGAGACTGTTGCTTGTTGGGTCTTGCCTTGCATTGATTGGCAGTATGACCGGGCTTTCCACAGTATAGGCAAAGCTTATTCTTGAATCGATGCTCACGCTCTTGAGATGTGAGAGGAGCAAAGCGAGGTCGGACAGCATCCACTTCCATAGGGACAGGAGTGAATGTGTTGGAAGGGGTAGACAAAGTATGAGTGGATTGGGTAGTGAAGGATCGAGAGTTGTTAAAAGAGGAGTTGTTTTTACGTGGTGGGGTAGACTTGATAGCGTTGACTGGAGTGATACCTCTCTTGCGGTTGAAGAGGAGGTTGTCCCAAATGATAGACTTGTTGATGAGATCCTTGAGAGTCTTGAAGTCATTTGGTGTAAGAATCTTATCCTTCACATCCTCCTTCAATCCATCAAAATAGGCATGGCGGAGTGCCTCATCATTCCAATGAAGAAAGGCTGCATGCTTTTCAAAAAGTGCTGCATACTCTGATGCTGACTTATTTTGCTTGAGTGTCTTGAGTTTGTGACGTGATGTCTCAATGATGTCGGACTCACCAAATGTCTTTTCAAATTCCTTTTTGAAAGCTTCCCAGTTATCAACCCATTCAGGACGAGTTTCAGTATGGTTCATAGCATGAGGCATGTACCACTGATAAGCTTCATCCTTGAGGAGATTTGAGGTGAAGGCAATCTTGGATTGATCAAGAGCATAGGTGTGGGGTTGGATATTGAAGACTGTGTCCCACTTCAAAAGAAATACCAGAGCTTCATCTTTACGGCCACTGAAAGGCGGTGGTGAAGTTATCTTTGGTTCCTTCCCCAAGGTGGGAGTGGAGTGAGAGTGAGCGTGAACCTGTGCATTAAGTAGTTCTTGCTCCAGATGGATGATGCGTGCTTGCATCTCCTGGAGGATATCTTCAGCAGAAGGGATGGCTTGGGGTTGGATGTCAGGGGTGATAGGGATGGGGTCAGACATAATGAATTACTTAGCTGAAGTGTTTATAATTCCCCCAAGTATCACTGAAGACCAAATATAATTTTTAGTATCCCTTTCAAACTAAAGTCAAAGATGTGTTATTTGTTTCCTAGAAGTTGAAGTTGTTACACAAATTATTTTCTTGAAGATCAAAGTGTTCTTGAGTATTGTTGCAGTTGATAATTATTGAAGTTGATAATTATTTCTTGAAGTTGATGAACAAGGGTATAAACTAGACCTAAAGAGTAGTAGACAAGCAAGGACAAAGAGGTGAGTTCTTGATACTGTCAAGGATACTGCCCACCCTGGGACAGAGGACAAAGGACAAGGGGACAAGGACTAGGAGTGACAAGGAATATACTTAAGATAACAAGACTGAGTCCAACAAGGAATGGGACTGTGACCCAAGGAATGTCTCTGGCTTGTCTTACAAGGTTAGAGGGAACTGGACTGGACTGGACTCCAAAAGGGTGGCAATGGAAATGACTTTTGATCAAGAACTAAAGAAGACTACAAAGTACAAGATAGGGTTTATATAGACAAATCAGCCTTTTCCAAGAGGCTCGTGCAGACCTGCGGAATACGAGCGTCCTGAACCGTCCTGCACTGTCCTGCATGCATTGCCTTGCATCCCACCGATAACCACTGATATCCTACGATGCCATATCTGCGTTTACCTACGTCCTACTATGACATCCTACGGGATGCGCCGGAAGTCGCTCGACTTTGTCGAAGGTGATCGATGAGGAACTATGCAGACCATAGAAGTGCTGCGAGAACAAGAGACTGAGAGATTATGCCTTAGCAGGCATTAGAACAGAGGGACTAGAGACTAGAGAATTACTGGGGACTTATGCCTTGCAGGCATGGGAGCTAAGCACCGACATACTAGAATGATACTTGGAGTTTATGCCTGATAGGCATGAGAGCAGAGGTGAAATATTAAAACACGGAAGTGGAGGTTGAACTTGTTTTGCGCAACAAGGAACACGTGATGGCGTCATTCATGACACTCCAATATCCCCTTCAGGGAGAAACAAGATGACATATCACAGCTCAAGAGCTTGAGTCAAATCCTAATGATTGGAAGAATCACATCCTTCATGCGTACCACAGGTGAAGTCCCGATATTTGTATCTCCTCACACTCACCGAGCCGGTCTCCAACGAATACACTTTTACCTCTCTTTCTTCCGAAAACGACTGAGGAGTCACGCACATTCCGACATACAGGCCCAGGCGCAGTAGGGACAATGGGAGCAGAAGTACGGCGAAGTTAGACGGAGTTAGGCGAAGTAGGGACAATGGGAGCAGAAGTACGGCGAAGTTAGACGGAGTTAGGCGAAGTAGGGACAATGGGAGCAGAAGTGCGGCGATGTTAGGCGGAGTTAGTCGAAGGAGGAAGAGGATGGCCGAGGGCTCGGGGAAGTTGGACGAAGTGCGTTGAAGTACGTCAAAGCGCGAGAGGGTTGGATGAACGTCTAGGAGGAGTAGATAATATTAGCTGAGAAGATCGCTGAAGTTCTTCAGCGATCCTTGATTGTTGTCAGTAGTGAAAAACAGATAGAGATAGCTATATACAATTCGAGATACATCGCCATCAGTAGAACAAAACCCCAGTTGGAGTAACTACGCCGAAGTACGCCGTAGTTACACTCCTTTCGACGTCTGCGCCCTCTCGGTTGGGTGAGACTTCGACTCAGGAGCATCAAGTTAGCCGAGGTTCGTCGACCGTCGGTCTGCCAGAAGATAGTTGTTCGACGCCCGTGACAGTATCAAGGATCGCTCTTACCGACGACCCGTGCGAACCTCGGAGAAGTACGAAGATTCTATGGAACCAGATAGGAGAGTTACGCGAGGTATGAGTAGGAACGGAGACAGGATGGAGGAGAACGAGAGGAGGGCACTGGAGGAGCTTAGCAGAGCGATGGGGCAGCAGCTTGGAGTGGAGGATAGTGTGGGGGGATCAATTCAAGGAGATGAGTTCGCTCCACCATTACCTTCTAATCCTCCTACACCTTCGGGTAATGCCCTCCCACCTATAGGATCCCCAGTTGGATCGGATCAGACCCCGCGGCCAGAAAACACTGGAAGTACGGCGGACTTGAGAGAAGAAGGTACACAAGGGGTGATATTGGCCTTGATGCAGATGGTGGCGAATATGAACAAAGACATGATGGAAGAGAGAAGGCGTAGGGAGGAGTGGGAGCAGAGAAGAGAAAGGGAGACGGTGGGCGGTATTGCAGAAGGGATATCAGAAGGGGTGAGGTACGCCATGGGACGGCAAACTTCGGCGACCCCAAGCGTAGTTGGCGAATCACGGAAGGGAATAAAACTGCCTAATCTGGACTTCTGGAGAGGAGAGAGGAACAAGTTGACCGCATTTCTGTCGGAATGTGAAATCCATTACGAACTGAACTCTCATCTTTTCCCCAACGACACTAAGAAAGTTTTCTTCATGATCTCTCATTTACGCGAAACACCTCTTCTCGCCGTTCAACCCGATCTTGCTAAACGACCTCTTCCTGACTACCTTGTGGAGTATGATCAATTTGTTAAATATCTCAAGACGAACTTTGGTGACCCGGATGAAGAAGGAACCGCAGCTCGATTGCTTAACGATCTAAGGCAGACTGGGTCAGCTTCGGAGTACTTCTCCGCCTTTCAACAACATGTGGCAATACTCAAGTGGTCTGATGACGGAAACCTGGTTGACCGAGCCAAGAAAGGGTTGAAACCACACCTCCTAGATGAAATTGCTAGACATGGTAAATCTTTTGGGACGGTCAAGGAGTTATTGGAGTTTGTTATTCCCATGGACAACAGGTTGTGGAGAAGGAAAGTGGAGAAGGATTCGGAGAAGAAGAAGGAGACGGGGGTAAAAGAAGTGTTAGTTGTGGATGGCCAGAGGATGGAGAGAAAAGAGGAGAAAAGAGGGGAAGGGAGGCAAACTTCGGCGCAGTCTGCGGTACAAGGGACTATTACGTCGACGCAGGTCAAGAACATTCCGTCCAATGCCGACGAACTTCGCCGACAATGGACTAGGCCACCTCCCGATCTGCGGGAGGCAAGGAGGAAGGAAGGGAAGTGTATTGAGTGCGGGGAGAAGGGACATTGGTTGAGGGACTGCCCGGTGAGGGCAGCGAAGGTCAAGGTCGGATGGTTGCCGCCGTGGGGGGAGAAGTTCGGCGAACGTGGTGGAGGATCGGGGGGGAACGCAGTACCTCTAGGACAGAGGAGGAACTTGAACACAGTCGGGGGAGATGGGGAGATGGAAGAGGACCAGGGAAAAGAGGAGGACCTGTCGCAGTAGGCGAGGCTCGGCGGGTCCGCCATATTCTCTCGGCCACCATTCCCAAACCTATAAAAGAGACACAGCTGATGGAGTCAGAGGATTGTGCTTACAAAAATACACCACTCAGTACCCCCTGTTCATGCAATGTCGATAATCATCTACTCATCTCTTCCACTTCTAGGGATCAACCTAAATCGGACATCTTTATTAATGGAATTAGGCTAACTACGCTCTGGGACACTGGGGCTACATGTTCGTATATAAGCCCTAGAGCAGCGGCGAAGATAGGTGTAGGAAGAAGACGATATCAGGTGAGCGTACCCGTTCACATGTTTGATGGCTCGGTTAGTGTCGCTGGACCTATCACCGAGTTTGTCGAAGTTGGTTTTAGTTTGACGAAGGGCGCCGAAGTGCGATCTGTTCGTCTAGATGTAACAACACTCTGCGATGCAGATGTTGTAATAGGGTGGGATTGGATGAGGAAGGAAGGGGTTGTTCTAGATGGAAGAGACAACTCGATGAAGTTCCCCATCCCAACCCCACCGAGTGCGGCGAAGTTAGCGGCCATAGGGCTGCCAACTCCGACGGACGCGATAG